GGGGGGGGGGCGAATATGGGAAGGAGAGAAAAAAACACCTGATACATTTACTTAAGGAGTCGTCTGTCGCCATTTCGTTGCTTAACTGACATTAACGATGTTATCGTGTGTCATCCTATAAATGTGAAACAATCAGATTTCATCTCAAAATTCGTGCGTTGGAAGTCAAGGGAAGTAGAAAGTTTCAATTTAAATTTCTTTGTTGAATTTCATTGTCGAAATTCATCTTGAAATCCAAATTATTCTTGGTTTCGCGCTTTTCTGGTTACAACACGAGTTTGTTATTTCTACTGGAAAATTCTTAAAACACAATCACATTATTAGTTTAATAAGGTGGAAAACGAGCACCAATTGAACTTCAACAATCTATCTATCCATACATGTAGATAATTAAATGGTCAACAATCCATTATGGGATTTCCTCTGCCTTCAAAGAAACAAATTTTTAGAACAAATTGAAATAGATCTTTCTGTCAAAATTTTATTGCTGTCAGAAACTTCTCCCAAGGAAATATAATTAATTAGCGATTTCAATTAATAGTTCCTTGCTTATTAAAGTCAATTTGTTTAAAAAACAAGCGATAAGATAGTTAACTGTAAATAATATTACCACTTCCCTTTAGCTCGGAGGAAAGAATACAAAAAAAGGCGACGACAGTCTCTCTTTTACAATAGGACTTTGTTTGTCTACAGGATAACAGAAAAAACTGAAACAAGCGTTCTCAACTGAGACGTGTATTCCTTTTATAAGTCTATGTTTCTGCCTCTAACTCCATGCTGATATTGAAGATTTAACAGGCTGCGACAAATGTACAATATTGAAATATTCCGACAAAGGTAACCTCCCTAAGAAAATGAAAGTCACAGACGAAGAAAGATAAACATGCCTTAAAATTCATAGAAAATCATAAACAAGCGAAACTGGAAATACCGTCGTAAATCATTTCAAGTAAACTGGAAGTCATAGATCTAAAGGGACATGCAAAACTGAAAGTTTAGATCACTGGCAAAGATAAACTCAAAACTTCCACTGAATCAGAGACAAAAGTAAACGCGGAAACGGAAGGTTACTGACGACAATACAAAAAGCTGCAGGCAAGACACGAAGATAAAGGAAGGGACGCAGTTCTAGACCATACTCGAAGATAAGCATACATGCGCACCTGCCAATATGAGGCCATAACAGTACAAAACTCACAGTCACAAACAAATTGAACACAAAAAAGAAAACGCACAGACAAAGATCAGCGCGTGCGAAACTGAAAATCACCTAGTATTGCCTTCTAAAGCAGGCTTTTTCTTGCCCTTAACATTAAAATTATTCCTTCATACAATTCTCAAATCTACATTTAAACTTTAATGTGTATAGTTATAAAGGCATGGCTTATACTTACTAATGTAAACAAGAGATGTAAGAATCCGAACGACATCCAACTTCACCTTTGTAAGTCTCCTAAAACGAACAATCATACATTAGTAGTTAGTTCTAATAAATATTCAAAAACATTTTAATGCACAGTAAACATGTCAAACGAGGGTAGGGAATAGAGGATATCTAGATAAAGTGTAATGTTCTTACCGTTACTACTTGAGGAGTCCGGCAAAATCAGAGCGTAATCCAGTCTAGTCTGGAACAGCAAAAGGGCAACGAATTATTAGTGACATTTAAATCTTCTCAATGCATACTAATGACATGGAAACTAAAGAATAACTTAGAAACAGTGATTTTTCTGGTCCAATGTATAGCTATGTGCATAAAATTTCGTTGAGACCTTGAAAATGGATCTTGTATTTCTTATTGGCATTGGTTAGTTAGGTGTTGCTAATTAGCATACTGTTGTAAAGTAGTATATGAGCTAGAATGATTGACTTAATAATAAAGTTATCGTATTGTTATAAATGAAATTTGTAGAGTAATATACATACAAACCCTTCGTCACTTCGCCACTCCCTCAACTTGTTCCTAATTGAAAAGGTTCGTTTCGTTCAGCGATACTGAGGTGGGTCGTCATAGGATATGATTTCGTGTCAAGTTCGATTGGCCTTTAATAATTGGAGTAGCGTCCAGGCCACGTCCCGGCCTGGCCTCGCTTTCATTTGCAGGGTTTACTTGGGGCGTATCGTCTGGTCCAATCATCCTTGCGTTCGTTGACTCGTTGTACTCGCCCATTTCGCTCGCTTTCTCTCCTCGCTCCTTTGCTCCCTATTTTATTTGTATTGTACGGTTTTATTTATTGTTTCAATACACATTTTTGTTTCCACTTTACTAATACACCATTGCATTGCAGGATGAAGTAGAAGTAAGGCAAAATCCGTATTTAGATTCAAGAATCAAGATTTCATTTGGTAATTTCATTTGCATTTGAAAATACTCCCAACCGTAGCTTCAGTTCCAAGCTACAACGTGCGACAAAAATGTTGAGACACTTGGCAGTAAAAGTCGATTTTCGAGCACCCTGGGAACATTTTCTTCCCCCCGCCCCCTTCTCTCCAAGGGTATCAGAGAATTAACGCTAGATGCAAATAAAGTAGAAGAAGTGCTTAAATATCGAAAAACGTCATTTTCTGAAAGTGTCTCAACTACTTTTGTCGCCCATCGTCTGTAGTCTATTTGTGTAAACTGTGGCGACTTCCGCTATATTTCCAAGCTCTAACAAGTTTATTTTTACAAAAGCCACTAAACGTGTGGTTCAGAGTGATTTGTGACTAAAGAAAAAGTGACAAGTGTTTTTGTTTCTCAAGAAAACTCCAATGCAAAGACAAAACTTGGTCTATCCCGTTGATAAATTGATCCATATTTAGCCCTCTAGGTGGTGTTTATCGCCACTTTTTAAACTCGTGGATTAGCGAAGCGTAGAAACGTGTTTGTTGCGGGGACTCCGATATGCAAATGTATCACTCACGCACTCACTCACTTACATAGGTTTAGACACTTCGTAATTAGTCGGTACCCGCGAAGCCATATTGGAATATTAACTATGCAGTCAATAGGAGCCTCGCCATTGCATTTGCGCAGTTACTATTTAAAGCGTCCATCGTGGGGTATATAAATTCTAGCTCGCTGGAAAGTGACCTAAAAATGAGTAAAACTCATGTTAACGTGGTAAGTTGCGATGAGAATGTGTCTGATTTGTCGACCTTAATGAACGAAAGCGAAAGGAGCAATTATAATAAATGAACGAAACAACTATTGAAAACAGGACAAACATCGGCACAAGAAAAATTATTGTTATTTCATTTTTTTAATTTAATAGCATCTGAACCTGAAGATGGCTGGTCTGGCCAGACGAAATACTGTTTCAAGTATACGACGTTGTGTCAGTCTTGCAGTAGTCTTTGACTTCTCATCATTTCACTATTCAACTATGGCTAATTAGATCTCCTGTGAGATTCAACGTTCAAGATCTTCGTTTACGGCTTTGTAGTTTGTCATTTTCATAGCATTTAAGTTTTTCATGTTGAGTTATCCACGTTCAACCGCCATCGAGTTAAGTTTAGATTAAAGTTGTGTTCTCTATACTTGTCTTGGTTTTTTTAGTACATTGATCTGAACTCTGAGTGGGATGTGAAATGCACTAAAACTTGAAAAGAAATTCCCAGAGACTTGATTTTGTTAAGCTTAAATGATTTTTACCCTGTCTTTTGTTTACACTTTTCCTTCCTGATGGAAAAGATGACAAAGGGAAAGAAACCCCATGTGAGCTTGTTGGAAGACATATTTATGGGTCGACAGATTTTTTGGACCAACACTGAAAATGCTTGCAAAATAGACTACTTATTTTGATGTAGTTTACGTGCAATATATACAGAGACAAGTGGTTCCACATTGGAAACGACTCAGTGCTGTCCCATAATAACCTTTACCTATAGCCTCGAGTGCCATGCAATGAGAAAGATCTGCAAGTTCATACGAACAGAAAAGGGTTCTTGAATATATCCAAATTTTCCCGGCAGGCAGACAAACATCAATATCAAGATCCGGGTTTGGTGGTTGGAGGTGGGGGGGGGGATAGCACTCTATGATTCTTTTGGCAGGAGTGCCCGCTGTGACCCAAGAACCCTCAGCCTTAACAGCTCCATGTTCATCTGCAATTTTGTCACCCTCTGTCATCTTTCCAAGCCTTTCTTTTATAGTTTAATATATAGCTGTTATTAGTTGCCATAGCTATTGTGTGCTCTTCTTATATTAATGTTTTGTATTCATATATAACTTTAACTATTTTAGACTCCCTTCATAGCATAGAAATAGCGTTTTTCCTCTTCTTGTGTGTGCATTTGTGCTTCAGTTTTCTTGCTGAACTGTATTTTATTTCTATTTAATGCTGATGTTAACTGGCTGCCTGGCTCCGCTAGCCCCTACGGATATTCAAGGCAGCTAGCACTCTAATTTTCACTTTTAATATTTTCTTTGATCATTGTAATTTTTCTTTAAGACTGAGTACAAAATAAAGATAGATTGGACCTAGCTATTCTGTAATAATGTGTGCAACAAAAGCCAACGAAAAAAGCCTTTGTGAGATAAATGCAACCTTTCGTGGTGCGAAACCGGCTTCTTTTAACAGCCTTTAATAAGAGTTCACCAACATGTTTCATCTCTAGACTACTTACTCCACGAGTTTGGCCATAGCTCTCCTTTAATTCACTTTTAAAGCGTTCAAAGAGTGTCTTTGTCACTTTCATTCAACGCAATTCTCACCATGACACAGTGTCTACAATTTTTTTTTGCTTACAATTTTGATGCTTTCCTCTAGGCCTTAAATCAACAGTCAGAAAAAAAGACTAGTTAACTTCTCATAAGTAGTACATGCTGAAAGAATCAAAAATTACTCCTACTCTGATAACAGTCACTGCTTGCGATAAACTGAATAAAATGTCCTATGGATCATTTTCTTAAGTCACACGGAGGCTACTTAAAATTATCGCTACCTTATGTAAATAAAACTACTAGTGTTATCCGTTTTCTTTTGCACTGTTCACAAAGCAGCTAACTGTAAACCTAACAGGTAAAAACTGAATTAATTTAGACTTCACTTAATCAGTCTTTCTCGTCGACAGTGTTCACCAAAAATTCTTGATTATATTCTTTGCTTTCCTTACGTAAATTGGGCGCAGACGCTTAATGCTTGATAAAATTTCAAATTGCAAGGCTCTTTTACTTTCTAAAAATTATTTCAAGTTATGAAAATACTATCAAAAGTTACATGTTCTCTATACAATTTTTTCAACAACTGCACAGGATATACATGTCGTCTGTGCCACTATTTTACTTCAAAATCCTGTTATTTACTATTACCAAAACGTGCAAGTATTTTTTCATGTACATTATTTTCAAAGTTCAACAACACGCCACCGGCTGATAAATAAAAACATCACGGTTTACGCATCTTGAAAAGTGTAGCCTAAATTTTTCAAGTTTCTCGTTTGTAATCCGTGTTAGTCTTCTCCATCCTTAACCATCCTTGTTCCTTTATAATTTATTGTTATCTCTTTGGTGTTTTCCTATCTCAGTAAACTATTATTTTCAGGTTCTCTTTAATGTAAAGGTTAATTTGTACGCCAGCAAACTAACTCAAAATACCGTGCCTGAGCTCTTTTAAATCTATTTCAGTTTGGTATTGCATTCTTCTTTTCTTTTATCGTAGGAAAGATCTGGACAATTGGTATCAACATCTGAAATTTCGATACGAAAAATTACCCTTCCCACTAAGGTTTTTCTGGTTTAAGCATTTATTTGAGTCCAACACTGTACACTGCAGTATCCTTTTAGGTTTTTAAAGCTTCTTTCGCTAAAAAAAAATTGCAACCTAAATGAATTGGTTCTCAAAAATCATTGTATAATTACACGAAAAACAATGGCGTATGTTATAAAAAGTAAATGCGTCTTTGACCAAAGTTAAATGCTTTGCGCTTAATATTTCTACCGAGGCATTGTTAGACAGGAAATGGCCAAAAGTTAAAGGTCTATTTCATTTATATCAACTAGCAGTAAAACTGTTCGTTGAGGTCGTGGCATATTTTACATCTCCGGCGGTCACTCGCTACCTTCCTGGTCACTCTTTCCAACACCTGACAGAGGAAATAAACAAACAAAAAGGGACAATCATTAGCAGCGCTAATGTTCAGTTACCTTCCTAGGTCTGGATTAAGCATTTCCTCAAAAAGCAGTTGCTTAATAACGAAACTGATTTCTTCTAAAAGATTATATTCTGCGCGTCCTGATTCGCTGAATATTATATTTTATCTTAGCATAAAACAAGAACACCGTGTCTTCGTGTCT